ATTGAACCCCGCCTCCATGTTATTGCTGGACTTAGCTTAAGGCTAAATATTCACCAAAAGAAACAAAACTTTCCAGTAATTGATTTTCCAAGTTTCTTCCAGAAGAAACAGGAAAAAACGGTTTCTTCTGGCTGGAAAAACCTGAAAAAATCCTGGAAAAAAAAGCCACCAGGAAGGAACTTCAAAACCCTGTGACAGAGGATGCATCTGCCGTCCAGGAGCCTGGATGGTCAGCTGACGTTCCTCTGTAGAGAACGACTCTAGAGTCAAACGGGACTAAACAGGGGGGCCGCTGTGGGCTAAACTCTGCACTGCAAAAACAATCTAGAAATATGTACAAATTATTCCCCTTTATTTGAGCAGGTTAATAAGATAATTTGCCAATAGAATGAGTAGTTTTGCTCATAAAATAAGATAATTAGATAATATGCACTAGAAATAAGACAATGTAATTTTTTTTTTTTCTTATTTTAAAGGTAAATTCTTCCATTGGCAAAGTGTCTCACTTTCCACCTAAATTCAAGAAAAAAACACTTATTTTAAGAATTTATTTTTTTTGTCGACCTTAATCAAAATCCAATCAATTAAAGCTACAAACAGACTGCGCAGATATAAAAAATATCCCTTCCTCACCCATTCACCCTCACCACCCTGCATCAGTAGGCGCACACACGCCAGCAGGGACACACCCAATATGCAGGCGCTGACGCAACCTGTCACCTAATGAACCAATGATACTAATGCTCCTCCTGCAGGCTCCTTTAAATCCTCTCCCCACTCCTCTGACCTTTTCAGCATCCTTCTGACACTGAGGGTCTGTTCTTCAGCTCCTCTTTGAGTTGGGAGGTGCTGTGACTCCCTGGACCAGCAGCCTGGATCCCCTCCAGATGAAACATTACCCTGAGAGAGGAGACACCATGACCAGTCCGCCCTGTGAGCAGCAGAAGAGGGGCAGTTTCTTCCAGGTGTGTGAACTTTTCTGATACTCTTTACCTTGAAGAAGAAGCAGCAGCAGATTTTCTGATCAGACCTGGGGGGGAGCAGAGCTCTCTGGCTCCAAGCTGGAGATGCTGAAACAGATCAGGGAGCTACCCGTTCAAGGAGCTGCTGGTTTGGTTTTAGGGACGTTGGTTCTCCCTGTTTTCATGCAGCTGGACTGATGTGAACATCATGTAAGGGTAGAGAGCATCCAAGAGGTTCCACTGCAGGAACCCTTCCCACAAACCAGGCTCTATGTTTTCAAAAACAGAAAGATATAACCAATCCACTGGACTTTGTTTCCAAGTTTGAAGACGTTTCTCTTCCAATCCAAGATTTTCAATTCAAAATGTCGGGAATAGCTTTAAGTTCCAAGCTTTATACAGTAGCCCAACAAAGCCCTGTTCTTGTTTTGAAAACGTGCAAATAGAAATGGACGAACAGATCCACCCCTTTGGAATGGAGGTCGTTTGGCTTCTTTTGTTAGCCTGCAATGCCCCATACCCGTCTAAAGGCTGGTTTATACTCAGAAACCAGGTCGCCCCTCCGCAGACAATCTGCTGCACCTCTCCAAAATTGTAGGTGACCGCAGACAGGAGGCCTCTGATTGGTCAAATCTACATCCGCTCTAAACTATGTGTATTTCCTGTTTGGTACTTTACCGGCTTGTTTTCTTTGTATGACCGCCATTGTGGAAAACGACTCGTGTAGGGCTGCAACTAACGATTATTTTAAAAATCGATGAATCGGT